GGCTTCCGCCTCTGAAAGTGTTGAGATTACAGGCAAGCCACGCCCGGCCTATTGTTATGATTATGCTAGTTTATCATTATTGTTGTTAATCTCTCACTGTAACTCATTTATAAATTTTTCTCTATTATTTACAAAATGAACTGCAACTATAAAAATTAAAGTTTACCATAGTGAGAAAAGAAAAGTAGCTCATAGCAATCTGTACTATGTGAGGCAGGCAAAATTACAGGCTCAGAAAGAAGTGAGTATGGAACACGAGGCCCCTTGCCTGGAGACAATTGCTTAAAGGTATTTGTACCTGACTAGTGTGCTGCTTCACCCATTATCTTCAAGTGCCTAAAATCTGTGAGACAAAGAACTATGTATAGCAAATCAATAGCTGTTACTCTAATGTAAACTCCTGGTAAACAATTTAGGAACTGCCTCTTCTTTTCCTTTTTTTTCAAAATTTTTTTTCTTTTTTTGAGACGGAGCTCAGCTGCCCAGGCTGGAGTGCAGTGGTGCAATCTCAGCTCACTGGAATCTCCGCCTCCTGGATTCAAGCAATTCTCTGCCCCAACCTTCCAAGTAGCTTGGATTACAGGTGCCCACCACCATGCCCGGCTAATTTTTTGTATTTTTAGCTGAGATAGGGTTTCACCATCTTGGCTAGGATGGTATTGAATTCCTGACATCGTGATCCACCCTCCTTGGCCTCCCTTGCTGGGATTACTGGCATAAGCCATCATGCTCCGCCTACGTTTTCAATCTTTTAAAAAACTTTTAGCTCTCTCTCTCTCTCTTTTTTCTTTTTGTGGCTCCTTCCAGAGCAGGGCTAACCTAACTCCTAGGCAGTGTGCCCAGAGTCAGCCTCCTTTTTTTTCTCCCAATATCTTCATGTCATCCAATCTTCTTTTCCTTAACCCACTTGTGGGCTGCTTGCAGTGGCTCACGCCTGTAATCCCAGCACTTTGGGAGGCCAAAGCAGAAAGATTGCTGAAGCCTAGAGGTTTGAGACCAGCCTGGGCAACACAGTGAGACTGTCTCCAAAAACAAAACTGAACAAAAAATCCTACTTGTAACTGCTGCAATCAGAGTGTATTTTCAGGGCAACTTGAATCTTTGCTCCTGAAGGCTATACTCAAAACTGGCCTAAATATACTCTACTTAATGTTAAGTTTGCCTCAGTCTTTTCCTTTAGGTCAACAATAGGTATGAACAACAGTCCTAGCACTTGGTCATAAAGCTTCTGGGCCTCTGGGGCCTTTGTCACTTCCCCTCCTCTATTATTTCTGTGGCCCCCATCTCCTTTCCCACTGGGATTCCCAGGAAAAACTTTACAAATAGAGCAGTGACCGCTGAGTTCCCCAAGGGCTTGCTTTGAGGTAGAAAGGAAGAGTAGTTTGAAATTCCCTTACCTTGTCATTATCATAAGAGTAATTAAGACATTAACTATATAATTGACTCTTTAACATCTAACTCTCACCACCCAAGAATGTAAACTGCAGGAAGAGAGGAACCTGTCTGTTGGTTCACAGATTAAGCCCAGTCTAATATTTGACACACAGTAGCCCCTTAAGTATGTGAATGTGTACGTGGAGTAGAAGCCTTTGTGAAACTGTAAAAGAGCTTACCAGAGGTTTACGTTGATTATCCCAATCTCTCCCATTCCACTCACCTGTCCATTTCCTGGTTTGGACATGGTTTTTCGGGCTCGGTGGACCTTGGGCTGCCCCTCTGGGCTGGTGGTGGCTGGAGGGAGTTCCGGTCCTGCTGCTGCAGTTCCCTGGGCTCCCGGCATACTCAGCAGCCTCATAGCCAAACTCTGGACAGATGGAGGGGATTTTCCTGCCCCTGTCATTGACATCTTGGCCCGGCTAGGACAGGAACCCCCCTTGCTGGGGGAAGAAGGGAATGACTTCGTAGCATGGCCTAGGAAACAGGCAAACAGAAGGCAAGATAAGGACTTAGGAGTCAGCAATTTCCCACCCACCCCTCAGGCTACCCAGCCTCTCACCCAGCAGGATCCGGCCCCCGTGGAGGTCCCCATCTCCCTCCAGATTCTCAGGTTCATCCCCAATGAGTGGTGTAGCCCCTACAGGGGTGTCAGCCCCCTCATCGCCAACAGTGACAGTGACAGAGGCTGGAGATGAGGGGCCAGCAGGCTCCAGGGAGTCGGGGGTGGCCTTGGGCAGGGTCTCTTCACTACGAGGGGTGTCCCCCAAAGAGCCATGAACTGTAGAGGAAGAGAAAAAGTTCAGAGCTAAGGGCTCAGGAGATCCTGTGTTTAGGGAAGGCGACTGTCCAACTGGGGCCCGTTTTAGCTGCACTCACCTCTCTCAGTGGCTCCTCTTGTCTCCTTTTCCAGCAGCAGCGCCCCCATTTCAGCGGGGGCCTCCCCCTGGGAGGGGAGACAAGGGACAGGAGGGCTGGTCAGCCCGGTAGAGAGTTGGGGGGTCCAGGATGCCTGGGCCCTGGGAAGAGAGAGCAGGCTCCGGGGCCTACCTCTTCCTCTATGGGGACCCCCCCTTCCGCGGCTTCGGCTGCCCGGAGGGGCCGCACGACCCCTACCCCGAGCCCGCATCAGCCCCCTCCCTCTCGGTAAACCTCGCATCTCTGGGGCCGAGAGAAGAGGAGGGGGAGGGGGCGGGGCCTCCGCGCCCCGGCCCCGCCCCCTCCTCCCGGCTGCACGCGCCGCTCCCCCTTTGTCCCCCAGGCCGCGGGGACCCCGAACACCAACCCCTCCAGCACCCGCTGCCCCCCAGCCCGGTGGACGGCCCCTCGTGCCCCTCGCGCGTGCTCCTGGGGCCCCGGCGCCCGCCGCCCACTCAGGGGCAGCCGGCGGCTGCACGCGCGCCTCCGTGCCCACTCCCCCCACCTCCCACCCCCTGGTCCCCTCATCCGCCCCCGGTGCTGGCCCCCCGGATTGCTGCAAGTCCCGCCCGGGCCCCCCGGCCCCGTTGCACCCCCGGAGCATTGCACGGGCGCGCGCTTCCCCCGGGCGCGCGCGCGGGCATGCACCCGCCTCTCCCCCTCCCCTTCCGCACCTCGGCGGCCGCCGCCGCTGCAGCTCCCGCCGCCGCCGCCATCGCCGCTTGCGCTGGGGGCCGAGCCGGCGCGCGGCCGCCCCGGGTCACGTGGGCGAGGGAGGGAGGGCGAGGAGGAGCCTTAAAGGAGCCGCTACACGCTTTTTGGCCATTTTCCCCTGAGAGCGGCCTCGGAGATGGTTGTGAATGTCCTAAGGTGGGAGCTGCAAGGGAGAATTCCTGTCATTCCTGGCCTCAGCTCTGCAGGGACCCAAGGCGAGGCACGCCTGGGCCCCAGGTGTGGCGTCTCCGTCCCCATCTGGTTTTAGGTAACAAGCGGAGCTTCTGAACCTCCCGTCTTTCGGCAGCGGCTGTATTTCCTCTGGCCTGCTTGGGCTTTTCCCGCCTCTGGTTGCTTTTCTGCCTTTCTATTTTCTGGGTTACCAGATAGAAGGCTCGGCCTCAGTTTTGGCCTCGCCTTTCTAACGAGCAAGAAGGGGGCGATAGGGACGCGAAGGACACCTTTACTCTTGGCTGGTTCTAGCATGCTGCTTCATGTCTCCTGGAGCAGGGTGCCCTTTTGAAAACCCGTGGCTAAATGTCTCTTCTGTTTATATCAGGCGTGTTACACCTCCACACGCATTAGGGATCCAGGTAAGCCCAGCGGCCCGAACGTCTTTACTGTCTGATGACACTGCAGTAAGTAACCTTTTTTGCCGAACACTTCATAAGCACAGTCAGGTACTCCGTGGGTCATAGCCCAGCGGACAACTTAAGTATAAATGATATACACCAAGATATACAACCTCGATAGCTGTATTTATGGTACCCTCCCCTTAGGTATTACATTTTGGTCGAGTTTGGAAAATATCTGTATGATTTCACACGCAGTATTTGACTGAGACAGGTGGGGCACCTGAGGCCAATTCAAGGCCTTCTGGGAACTGTAGTTCTCTTTGGTTAACTATTCCAGAGCTTTCTGGGAATTGTAGTTTTCCCTGCACCTTAATCCAAACTTAGCTTCCTTTTTTTTTTCTTTTTGTTTTCTTAAGACACGAACCATTTACCCCAAACAAAATATAACCAAACACAGACTCCTGCTTACAATTTCCGTGGGCACGTTGGCCACATGTAGCTCATCCCTAGCACTGATCTTAAGCTCCTCAAATAGAGTTCATGTGCATCCCCACGACTGCCAATCACTTGTACTGTGAGGTACCTGGGGAAGTGTTGAGATTGCAGAACTGGTGGAGGGCTGGGGGCGGGGGCTTGGAGGGAGTCCCTGGCCAAAGGATCTCACTTGTCACACTCCTCTCCCATCACACTGAGCTCCTTCAGGCAAGGGACATGCATGAGTTGTGACCTCTAGATATTGAGAAAGCAGCATCATAGAGAGGTGGTCTAGAGCAGGATAGTCATATACACGCAGTTGCCAGAGTGTAAAGGAAAGAAAAAGTTTTTTTTTTTTTTTTTTATTTTGTGGAAAACAAAAGCAGAAAAACTAAAACCCCAAACTCCAGAAAAAATCCTAAAAAATATGTTTTTTTCTTAAAAAATACTGTATAAGTCTCTACTCTCCCTCCCTCCCAACAGCCCTTCTTAGGTTCTTTCTTCTAAGTACCCTACCCCCCACCCCCATGACTATCCACTGTTCTTGCTATTGTACCCCCACTTCCCAATATCTATCCAGGATGCGCACCCCATGTTCTCTTACCTGGTGTCTTACTTTGCTCTCCCTCATATTTCGGCAAGCCTCATACTCGCAGTCCCATTTCCCCAGCATGCAAGAACTGTCTCCCCCTTCCTTTTCTGGGACTCAATAATCTTTTCCCCTTACCACTCCCTCACCCCAGGTCTATTCTAAGTAGGAGCATGTCCTCCTGCCAAATTCCCTCCCTGTTCCCACCCACCCACCCACCATTCTTACCTCAAGAAGTGTCAGAACCTTCCCCTGGGCAGCCTTAGCCAGGAATAAAACATTTTTGTCTTTGTCTTCCCTCGTTCTATAGGACCCTTTCCCCTCCCTCCACATATACATGCACCTCTTAGAGAAGGAAATCTTTCTCTGGGACCCCCGTATTACCCTGGCCTACTCCAAGAACCCTGTCCCCAGCTCCAGCTTCTTGCGCTCTCCATAGCAAGTCTTCTCTCCAAGGAATCATCTTCCCTCTCTCAAGATGCGTGAGTGTGCTCAGCCTCCCACTCTACCTTTCTGCCCCAGACCCCTCCACCCCCCAATTCTCCTGGGCCAAAGAGCCCTCTTCCCACCCAGCCCAGGGACCCCCAGGCTCCTGGCCTCCACGCCTGCGCGGCTAGCGGATGAGGACGTTGATCTCGGCCACGCTGGCCTCCAGCACGTTCTCGGCCGTGGTCTTGCCGTGCTGCTCCTTGAGGTGCCGCCTAATGGCAGGCTTGTGGGCGAAGCGCACGTCGCAGTAGGAGCAGCGGTAGGGCCGCGCTCCCGAGTGCAGGTTGAGGTGGTCGTGCAGGGTGGACTTCTGGGTGAAGCATTTGCCGCAGATGCCGCACGAATGTGACTTGACACCGCGGTGCACGTTCATGTGGCGGTTGAGGTTGCTGCTGTGGTTGAACTGCTTGCCACAGCGAGGGCACATGAAGATGAAGTGCTGCGCCCGCATGTGGAAGACCAGCTTCTCCACGCCCTGGAACACTTCCGGGCACTTGGTGCATTTGATGTTCTTTAAGGGGTTTCCACCTGAGAAGCCCCCAGGCAGGGGTCCCCGGCTGCCCCCCGCCCCTAGGCTGCCCCCCACCCCCCGGGCAGCCATGGCCACCGCTGCTGCTTCCACCAGGCCAGAGGTGGCCCCCACGCTGGCCCGGCCTCCGGGAATCAACAGCAGGCCCTCCCCTTCCGCGTCCTCGGACAGGCTATAGCAGGCCTTCACCACACCTTGCGGTGGGGCTACAGTGCTGGGGGGCACGCTGCTCTGGGCCAGCTCCCCAAGGTGGCCACCTACGGAGCCTCCAATACCCAGACCCCCTCCCAGGCCTCCAGGGGGTTTGAGCCGGTGTGCCACCTCCAGGGCCGACTCCACCTTGACGATGCAGATGTCAGACACGTCCTCGTCCTCATCCTCATCCTCTTCCTCGGCTTTTAGCTCCAAGTCCTCATCCAGTGGGAACTCCAGCTTCACGGGCCGCAGGAGTGGAGGGGGTAGAGGAGGTGGGGGTGGGGGCTTCGGGGCTGGCTTTGGGGTCCTGGCTGGAGGGAGGAGGGACTTGGTGGCGCTGACGCTGCTCACAAGGCTAGCCTCACTGACCCCATCCTCTTTGAGGCCTATTTTGGGCTCAATGAACTGGCTGAGGGCATTCCGGCATTTCTCCACCACGTGCTCCATCTGCAGGTAGGAGGCTGCAGTCAGGTAGTTGACGATGTCCCTAACAGCGAATTCCAGGGCGCCCGTGTAGCAGGAGAGGAGCAGGTCGGCCACAATGCGTGCACTGTGCATCAGGGAGACCTGCAGCTCCGAGCTGGGGTTCAGCAGGAACTGATCCCGCAGGAACGGTGAGCAGGCGGCCAAGATGACTTTGTGGCCTCGAAACTTGAGGCTGTCGGCCACAATGGTCACGTCGCAGAACCGCTCCTCTGCCCGGAGCTGGTTCATGTTCCGTAGCGTAGCGGCCTCGTGGCCGGGCAGCTGGAAGCGCAGGACTTCCACCCCAGAGGCCATTGTGGCGGGGGTGGGCAACCCTGGTTGGGAAGGAAACCGGTCAGAGACAAAGGTCTCTGGCTCTCCGAAGCCAAGGCTCCAGGACCCTCGCCCCCATTCTTGCCCGGCCCCCCAGCATCCGATCTCCCGGTCTTCAGATCTCTTCCTCAATTTCCCCAACCCTGGGGAGGCGCTGTCCCTCTGAGAGGAGGGAGGCGTGGTTCTCGGGGGCGGGGCAGCGGCGTCCACACCCCCCAGCCCAGCAGCCAGCTAGGTTGGGGCGAGCCCGCGCTCCCACGAAGGAAGGACGGAAGAAAGGGGGGGCAGAGGCCTGGGGCTCTGGACTCCGAGGTGGCCTGGGTTGCAGGCTCTTCTCACCCCGCCCCCTTTACCGGCTGCCTCATTCGTCCGCCCCCCCTTACACGTTTGCACGCGTTTTTCACGTCCTCCCCCCGCCGCCTGCACGCGTCGTGCACGCCCTACCCCCACGCTCAGAGCTCCGTGGCACGCCCCCCCCAGCCCCACGACCCTGAGTGCACGCGCCTCTCACCTGGCCCGGTTCCGCGCGCTGTTTTTTTTATCCCCGATTTTCCCCACCCCCCCGGGGCCGGCAGCGCCCCCCACACACGGGCAGGGCCTGGGCAGCGCGCAGGCGCGAGGGTGCACGGGGCGCGCGCGCGGGGCCGGCTCCGCGTGGGCGTAAGGGGGGAGGGGCGGGGGCGGCTCGTGCCGTGTGTTCCAGGCCCCGCGCGCGCGCGCGGCGGTGGCGTCGGCGTCGGCTTGGACTCGGGGAGGAGTAAGAGGGGAGGGAATTAAAGGAGCAGGATCCCCCCTTTCCGACCCCCCTTTCTTCACCAGCACCCCCAAGCGGTTAAAGGGCCGGACGGCCTTGCCTCCCCTTTGGCCGGGATTATTTGTCCGCCAGAGCGGAAATACGTTCCACACCCCCCTCTTTCTCGCTCCCCCTCCTCTGTGCCTCCAGGTCCCGCGGCCAGTCTGCGCGTGCGTGCCAAGTGCCGCGCAGAGGACTGCTCGCTCGGGCCCGCCCCTCAATCCCGGCTGCCCACGGCGCTACCCGCCCCGCGCCCTCGCCGCATCCCGCAGCGCGCGCGCGCGCGCGCGCGTGTGCACTCGTTCTCTCGGCTGCTGGCCCTGCCACCTGCTCTCAGGGGTGGTGCCTCTCCGGCCCAGCTGTGCCGTGCGGGGCCCTGGGTGTATCTGTGGCACCTCTCAGGGCCCCACCCGCCCCGTGGTTAACAGAGCTGTTGGTAGTTTGTTATCCACGCTTGCCTCCTTTGCTGAGTGTATTCACGGTTGCTCCAGCTACATTTCCAGGCTTTTCCAAATCTTATAAAGGTGGTAACCACCCCAGCCCTTCAGGCCTAAAATATGATTTAATTTTCCACAAAGCCAGACGATCCAGTGCCCTCCACTTTCCTCCACTCCATGTCAGTTCTTTAAAATCAAACACCCCCTCCCCTCTATTCTCAGAATTGATCCCAACTTCTTGCCAAGGCAGTTGGCCTCCACTTGAGCTATTGATGACCTTGCCCATTTCACCTTTAGTATATAATTAACCCTAGGATTAATTCTAATTATGTAATTTATTATGTTAGTATGATTCTACTCTAATCTTCCACCCCGCTGTCCCCCTCATTCTTTACCTCTCCTCCAGACTGACAAAGTCCAGCCTTAAACAAAACTTGCCTTCAGCACTGCGCCCAGGCCTTCTCTTTCTCGTCTGACTCAGTTGCAGTCTCCACAGCTTCAGCGACAGCACTTAGGAGCGTCTTGAAGACTGGTCCCTTCCCTTCCACTATCTGTTACCTACACTAACTCCCCACCCATCCAAGTCTGTGTGAAGATGCCACTGTTTCCTGCCAACTACATTTCTTTTTTATGTCCTTCAGGAGACTAGTGCATTTTCCTTACATTTCAATTCTGATGAAGTGTCTTATGTGTTCAATATCTGGTTTCCCTATGAGACTATAAACTTATTGGTTGCAGGCATTATGTTGTGGGTTGTGTTTTGCAAATAAAAATCATGCAATAGGCCAGGTGTGGTGGCGCACGCCTGTAATCCCAGCACTGGGAGGCCGAAGCAGGTGGATCACCTGAGGTCAGGAGACCAGCCTGGCCAACATGGTGAAACCCCATCTCTACTAAATATACAAAAATTAGCCAGATGTGGTGGCAGGTGCCTGTAATCCCAGCTACTGGGGACGCTGAGGCAGGAGAATCACTTGAACTCAGGAGGTGGAGGTTGCAGTGAGCCGAGATCATGCCACTGCACTCCATCCTGGGCAACAGAGCCAGACTCTGTCTCAAAAAAAAAAAAAAAAAAAAAAAAAAAAAAAAAAAAAAAGTCATGCAGTTAATGATTGCTGAAGTAATTCCTTTTCAGTTTAGCCAGCATCCACCCACAAAAAGTTTGCTTTTGAGCTAAAACTGAATTCTTGAGCTCAAGGGATGCTGTTTGGCAGGAGGGTAGAGGCAGCGTTTAGGTGGTGCCTTGACTCTTTGCCTTTTTCTTTTAAATTTTCTGATTATTATGCTCCAAACAGTTCCCTCTATCGAATCGAAGAGTCTGTTCTAAACTGCCCTCTTTGTAGTTAGATGTAGATTTCAGGAAGAACACATGATTTTATGTCAGATGCATTTAGGCTTAAAGCCATATTTCTAGGAGTTTCTGAGCCTACTCTGGCTCAGAAGGCTGCCAGATTTGCGAATCATTTTAAAAAAATAAAAGCCATATTCCTGTACGAATGAGGCCCATTGGATAAGTTACTTTTCTGAATCACAACGTCCTTATCTTTGTCTCCCCCACCCTCCTTAGCTTAGTTGAAGGCGTCTTTATCTTGAAGGCCTTGATTCCTCACAGGACTAACATGAGGTTTAAATGAGCCTGTATGCAGTAGATGCTGACTAAACAATAGCTCTGTTCTCCTTTGCATAATTTGGTAGACAGACTATGAAATTTTCAAAAGAACGTTATTTTAGATGGAATTTCGCTATTGTCACCCAGGGTGGAGTGCAATGGCACGATCTCGGCTCACTGCAACCTCTGCCTCCCGGGTTCAAGCAATTCTGCCTCAGCCTCCCGAGTAGCTGGGATTACAGGTGCTTGATACCATGCCCACTAATTTTTGTATTTTTAGTAGAGACAGGGTTTCAACATGTTGGTCAGGCTGGTCTTGAATTCCTGACTTCAGGTGATCCACCCATCTCAGCCTCCCAGAGTGCTGGGGTTACAGGTGTGAACCACTGCACCTGACCTAAAAGAAAATTGTTTGTTGTTTTAGATGGGGTTTCACCATGATGGCCAGGCTGGTCTTGAACTCCTGACCTCAGGTGATCCACCCACCTCGGCCTCCCAAAGTGCTAGGATTATAGGCATGAGCCACTGCACCCGGCCAATAAAATTGTTTTTAAAAATTCTGCTTTTTTAGGCTGGGCGCGGTGTGTCATGCCTGTAATCCCAGCACTTTGGGAGGCTGAGGCAGGTGGATCACCTGAAGTCCAGAGTTCAAGACCAGCCTGACCAACATGGTGAAACCCGTCCTTAAAAAAATAATAATAAATAAAAAATAAAGAAAAAAATTGTTCTTTTAAATCTCATCTCTTATTTTCCACATTGCCAAAATTCTCAGAAGAATAGTTCACATTCCAGTGAAAGAAGAAATACAAAAAGCTATCAAGTTAAGAATTAGAGTTTGTAAAGGTTTGTTTCCTGTCTCCTTCTTGCTACTTTTCCTTTCTGGGAACGCGGATGGGACAGGGAGCCTAATCTCAACCCATGGCTTAAGACAGGTAGTCCTTGGTGGCAGGCAGAGTTGAGAGCCAATGAATCCTTCAAGTGTCCAGCCCACCCAGTTGCAGCTCTGCATAGAAACAAGCAGAGGTGCACACACCATCTTTTCCACCGTAGTCTGGTGGAGGGGGTTTACAATCCCTTCTTCCCCAACTTCTGCCCATGTAAAACCAGAGCTCTCCTGTCCTTAGCTTGCAGTACCAAATGCCTTGGTGTGGTGTCAAGAACAGATAAATTTAGGAGATACATTTAGGATTCTTGGGTCAGGCTTGGTGGCTCATTCTTGTAATCCCAGCACTTTGGGAGGCTGAGGCAAGAGGATCCCTTGAGCCCAAGAGTCTGAGACCAGTCTGGGCAACATAGCAAGACCCCAACTGCAAATAATAAGAAAATTAGCAGAACATGATGGCACGTATGTGCTCGTGATCCCAGCTACTTGAGAGACTGAGGTGGGAGGATTGCTTAAGCCTGGGCAATTGAGGCTGCAGTGAGCCATGACAATGTCACCATACTCCACCCTGGGCAATAGAGCCAGAGTCTATCTAAAAAAAAAAAAAAAAATTCCCAGGGCGTGATGGCTCACGCCTGTAATCCAAGCACTTTGGAGGTCAAGGCGGGCGGATCACCTGAGGTCAGGAGTTCAAGACCAGCCTGAGCAACATGGTGAGACCCTGTCTTAAAAAAAAAAAAAAAATTGGACAGGTGTGGTGGCTCACACCTGTAATCCCAGCACTTTGGGAGGCTGAGGTGGGCGGATCACCTGAGGTTGGTAGTTTGAGACCTACTTGACCAACATGGAAAAACCCCATCTCTACTAAAAATACAAAAAAATTAGCTGGGTGTGGTGGCAGGCATCTGTAATTGCAGCTATGAGGGAGGCTGAGGCAGGAGAATCTCTTGAAACAAGGAGGGGGAGGTTGCGGTGAGTTGAGATGGTGCCATTGCACTCCAATCTGGGCAACAAGAGTGAATCTCCATCTCAAAAAAAAACTGTATTCTTAATGGGCTTTAGAAATAAAATCTAGGGGCCGGGCGAGGTGGCTCACACCTATAATCCCAGCACTTTGGGAGGCTGAGGCGGGTGGACCACAAGGTCAGGATTTTGAGACCAGCCTGGCCAACATGGTGAAACCCTGGGCTTCTTTCTCCTTTGATCTGCACTCAGCTCTGCTCTCACTCAGTCCAGGAACCCTGGTGAAAACTGCCGGAAGTTTTGGCAATGTTGGAAGAGGCTCACTGGTTGGGGAAAGAAGCCATGTGAAAACAAAGTGCCTGTACCACTCCCATCCATTTGCAAAACCACCTTTTCTGAACTCCCATCCATCCCCCTGAATGCTCCGCAACGCTGGCTCCTCCTCATTCTCCCCAGCTCTTCTGAGCCCCCAGCCTCAACCTGCCTCCAGACAAACCCTTCCCTCCCCCACTTACCTAGGAGGGAATTTAGGTCTCCCTGCAGCCCACCCCCTTACCCATCGTGTCCTCCACACACCCTTACTGACTTTACCCAGCTCAGGCCTATGTGGGGAAATGGAAGCAGATTCTCCCAGCACCTTGTCAATCCTAGACAGAACAGGACTCTTCCACTTCTCATCAAACACACTATCCTCTAAGCCTTACCAAGTCTGTTCTGCTACCCTCTGCCATCCTTGCTGCTTGAGCAACTGACTTTCGGGCCTATGATACCTGGATCAGGTTGTCCTCCCCAGGCTTGCCTGTGTCCCTGCAAATGACTTAATCCATACCCCAAGCTTTTAAAAAAAATTGTTCATTTTATTTTATTTTTTCATAGTCTTTCATGAGAGTAGAAATACAAAAAGCTGTCAAGTTAAGAATTAGAATTTGTAGGGCTGAGTGCAATGGCTCATGGCTGTAATCCCAGCACTTCGGGAGCCTGAGGTAGGCAGAACACTTGAGGTCAGATGTTCGAGGCTAGCCTGGCCAACATGGTGAAACCCCGTCTCGACTAAAAATACAAAAAAAAAGTTAGCTGG